AAACTTCGTGAAATATTCAAATATGTCAAAATCAATATAACAGTAGACAGAGGAGATGAGTATAGAGACCTTCCAAAGCAGGCGCGGTAAACATGCAATGCAAATTTTATTACCAAAAGAAATGTCAATAAAACAAGTTGGATTCTGTGCGTTAAAAATCTCTTCGTTGTTCATTGGTTGTTTTTTGAAATTGCAAAAGAAAAACTCTACCTGTTAGCATGGCTCTCGACATGTGAAGAAGGTAAAGCCACACGTCAAATATAACCATGGCTGGGGAACTTGGTTTGCAGCAGATCTTTTGCTTCCCATTAGATTTTTGAATTTTTGAGGAGACAGACAAATGAATAAGAGTGACCACAACTTCTGATGGTTCTAGAAATATACATACTTGGTATTGTTTTGATTTTGTGTTACAGTCTGGCTAGAGAAAATTACTTTATATTATTGTAACAATTATGTAATTAATTCTACCAAATAGGAAAGTGATATAGTCAACAGATATGAACAGATGAATATACATGAATTTATTATCTGGAAATTTAATCTAGCTTCCTTATATATATATAGTGGACCACTAATCAACGGTGCAATTACAGAAAGAAAAAAGAAGAAAGCCTTTTACACCTTGCAGTGAGTTTAAGGTCATGAATTCAACGAGAACGTAACATCCTAAGAATGTTCTCAACCTTCTGTAATTTATCTGGCACCCAACAAGCACCATGATGATGATTATTATTATTTTTGGTTGCTAGCGGGGCGGAACGAAAACCAAAACCCAAACAAGAACAAAGGAACAATGGTGGCCCTAAAATCTTCAGCCCAACAGGCCCACAATAGAAGGACGTCCGAGGTGAATATAACAACATAGAATAGAACTCAAAACAGCATCATCAATTTTCCTCCACGTAAGACAACAGAACTCAAAACAGCATCATCAATTTTCTTGACTGCTAAGTCAACCTCTCAGCAATATCTGCCTGCTTCGCACCCACAGAAAAGAACTCAGAGACGAATTCAAGGGGCATGCCCTTAGTTTCCGGCACCTTCAAGAACACAAACACCCAAGAAATGGTGCACAGCATAGATGGCAAAGACACCAGCAAGACCAATGGAGGTGAGCATGACAGGCAATGTGTAAGTGACAATGATGTCTCCAATCAGAAATGTGAGGGCACGTATGGCGATGCAGAGGCCGCGAACACAAGTGGGGAAGATCTCGGAGCAAAGAATGTTAGGAATTGGTCCAAAACCCATGACAAAGCAGCACAAGTAGACCACCACACTGATGCTGGAAATTGTTGCATTGACAACAGAACCCATATGGACAAGTTGTCCGAAAATTAATTTTAGGAGAGTCCCGGTCAGTACAGGCAGCGTCGTCAGCAACAGTGACCTGCAATGGAGACAGAAGAGTATAAGATGACGGGAAAAGTTCAGGCTTTGATTAGTGGCACAAAGGACAACTATACCTTCTGCCAGTGGTATCCATTAGTCTCATGGCAATGCCTATGGATGGAAGCATCATCAACAAGGTTGTTAGAGCACTTATGAAAATAGAGGCAGGGGTGGAGCTAAGGCAAAAATTTGATTAGAGAATTGCAACCCCTGCTTGCTCAAGAATCTGAGGAGTGTAATATAGAACCCCATTTATGCCAGAAAACTGCAAGGACAAAAAACAACGAGCATTAGAATTTAGAGCACGAGGAAAAACAAAAATTATCGAAAATTGAAACTATTTGTACCACACTTACTCCTAGCACCGAAGAATTTGCATTGTTACCCCCAACAACTAAAAAAGTGATATTGGCTGCTTATCTTGTCAAAAAGATGGATTTTCATTAAATAAATAGCACCATGTCAGTCTAAAATGGGTTTTGCTCGGTTTTCAAGATGGGTCTTTAGCACCAAAAATTGTAATTTGGCTTAAATAGACCCCACCACATGTGGCAAACACTGGACAGGAGCGAAACTCAGGTAGTGCGCTCTCTCCCTGAAAGTCTCGAACGGAGAAATACCCAGCTAGCAATGGAAAATGCGAAGAGGTAAGACTGGTTAATTTTTTGCTTCTTTTCCTACCCCAAGTGTTCATGCATGTAGAAACTGCTGGTTGATTTTGATTTTTGTAACTAATATTTGATTACCATGTTTCTAGATTAGATCTGATTATGTTTAGATTTCAGCTTGAGCTTAGCTTTCCTGTTCAAAGTATGAATCTTTTCAGTGATGTGTAGCGTCGTCTGCAATCTTGTCTTGCAGAGAAACATGCTTAGAGCGAGAAATTTGATTTCTCTGAAAAAACGAAACTGGGGTTTAGAACAACCATCACAAGCACCCAGAAGTTTTTGTTTTGGTGGTGAAAAAGCACCCAGAAGTTGAAGAAAGAGAAAAAGTGGGGTTTTTTGTTTTGGTTGTTTTGCACTTGTAGAAAAAGCGGAAAACTTTATTGTTGTGTTGCTTTGTAGAGAAAAGGGTTTGTAATGGAAGGAGGGTCAAGCCACAACTTCGTTCCTCCTTCAGCTGGTTTTGATAAGTCATGTGTTTTGGATGTCAAACCTCTGCGTAGTTTGGTGCCAGTGTTTCCAGATGCGTCTCAGGCCCCTCCCTTTGCATGCATGCCTCCCTTCGGCCATACCCCTAAGGGATATTCTTCATTTTACCCATTTCATGTACCACAAGGCTCTCAAACCTCACCTAATCTCAATAGTGAGAATCCTTCCCCAATGAGGACGACGGGTCTCATGCCCGCTCCAATTCGGTCATACAGAGCCCCCGCCCCATCTGGGCCACTTGGAGAAAGAGGTTCATCAATGGGTGGGGCAGAAGATGAGGATGGGTATTTTGATGCTCATCCAGGTTCTAGTTCATCAAGAAAGAAGACTGTGAAAGTGGGTTCATCTCGAAAGAAGAACAAGAAAAGTAGAGATCGTGATTCATTAACAAACAATGGGTCGGTAGTGAACTTTGTTTCTGTTATGACTCCATTTCAACTAGAAGACGGTAATAGGGAGTTGGTTAACTATGTACTCATGAATTTTGATGCATTGCGGAGAAGGATCTGCCAAATCGAAGATGCCAAGGAATCGAAAAATGTGCTTGCACATTTGAAAGCTGGTAACATTGTGATGAGCAAAAAGATTCGAACAAACATGAGGAAGAGAATTGGGGTTGTGCCTGGAGTTGAGATTGGCGACATTTTCTATTTCCGAATGGAAATGTGTGCAGTGGGATTGCATGCTCCGCCAATGGCTGGAATTGACTTCATGTCTGGGAAGGGTGATGCTGAAAAAGATCCATTGGCCTTAAGCATTGTTTCTTCAGGAGGCTATGATGATGACACAGAGGACAGTGATGTCTTGATATATAGTGGTCAGGGTGGGTATACCCATAACAATAAGCAGGTGGCTGATCAGAAGCTTGAAAGGGGTAATCTTGCTCTTGAGAGGAGCTTGAATCAGGGCAATGAAGTCCGAGTGATTCGTGGTGTGAAAGATGAGCTTATTTCAACAACAAAGGTCTATGTGTATGATGGCCTATATAAAGTCCACGAGTCATGGACAGAAAGGGGGAAATCTGGTTGCAATATATTCAAGTACAAGTTAGTGAGGGTGCCTGGTCAGCCTGGTGCTTTTGCAGTTTGGCAAACTATTCGTAAGTGGAAGGATGGTTTTTCGTCAAGGGCTGGACTCACTCTTCAAGACCTCACTTCAGGGACTGAACCTATACCTGTTTCCCTTGTAAATGAGGTTGATAACGAGAAGGGGTTGGCTTCTTTCACGTATTTTCCTAAACTGAAATATTCTAAATCCTTCACTTCAATGCCGCCTTCTTTTGTCTGCAATTGCCACACTGCATGCCTCCCAGGTGATATGAATTGCTCTTGCATTCAGAAAAATGGAGGTTCTTTTCCTTATACTGGCAATGGGATCCTAGTCAGCCGGAAGCAATTGTTACATGAATGTGGTCCTACATGTCCATGCTCTCCCAACTGCAAAAACAGAGTATCCCAAACTGGTGTAAAATTGCGCTTGGAAGTGTTTAAGACAAAGGATAGGGGCTGGGGCCTCCGGTCATGGGATTCTATTCGTGCTGGTACTTTTATTTGTGAGTATGCTGGTGAAGTTATTGATGAAGTGAAGTTAAAGCATAAAGGAGATGAAGGTGAAGATGATGAATATATTTTTGATACAGGCCGTAATTATGAGTCGTTTAAGTGGAATTATGAACCAGGACTACTAGAAGAGGAGACTTCTAATGACATAAATGTGGATTATAACATCCCATATCGCCTAATCATAAGTGCCAAGAATGTTGGGAACGTAGCTCGGTTCATTAATCACAGTTGCTCACCAAATGTCTTTTGGCAACCGGTTCTATATGAACACAACAATCAGTCTTGTCTTCATATTGCTTTTTTTGCCATCAGACACATTCCACCCATGACAGAGTTGACATATGATTATGGCAATTCATGTTCTAATGAAGCTGACAATGACAATGGATCCCACCAGAAAAAGAAATGCTTATGTGGATCATCAAAATGCCGGGGTTATTTTGGTTGATTATGTAGGTTATAAAATAGACAGCTACAGTGCCAAGAAACATGATCCTGGCTAGTAAGTTTGTAACTTCACCATGTTTAAATGTTTTTGAACTTAGTGTAACTGTGATTTTGTTGTTGTTGATCTTTCAATCTGCGGTCAATGGTTAAGGTTCCAGAAACCGTTAATCATGGTGCCGACAAACATGATCCTGGTTATAAAGTTTGGAATCTCCATCATGTTTATATAGTTTTGAACTTTTATGTTGTTTGTTTATATGGTTTTATATGGTTCGGCATTATATGCTTATTAGATTTTCCCTGAAATAAGACATTTGAAAGAGAATTAAATATAAGACCTAAAGCGAGAGTTTGCCATAAGTACAGTATGAGCACAGAAACTATAAGCAAATGGTTTGAATTCCCATTAGCCCTTTCTTGAGGACCAAGGATTACTTTCAGCTTCTACTAAAGCGTCATATCTTTGATCATCGTCCAGTTGTTTTCAAAAGATGACTAGCTAGAATCTCAGAGTCCAAAGATTATATATACAAAAACTGTCCAGATCAACGTGAATATAATAACAACACAGCAGGCACTGGTGTTCACTTAATTTAGTGTTATTGTGCCTCCTTTCCTCTACCTAGGACAAAGAACATAACTCAAAACAGCATCATCAATCCCTTGACTGCTAAGTCAAACTTTCAGCAATGTCTGCCTGCTTTGCACCCACAGAAAAGAACTCAGAGATGACTTCTAGGGGCATTCCCTTTGTTTCCGGCACCTTTAAGAACACAAACACCCAAGAAATGGTGCACACAACAGCGTATATGGCAAAGACACCAGCAAGACCAATGGTGGTGAGCATGATAGGTAATGTGTAAGTGACAATGATGTCTCCAATCCAAAATGTTAGCGCACATATGGCGATGCAGAGGCCGCGAACGCGAGTGGGGAAGATTTCAGAGCAAAGAATGTTAGGAATTGGTCCAAACCCCATGACAAAGCAGCAGAAGTAGACCACCACGCTGATGGTGGAAATTGTTGCATTAACAACAGAACCCATATGGACAAGTTGTCCGAAAATTAGTACCAGGAGAGTCCCCGTCAGTACAGGTAGCGTCGTCAGCAACAGCGACCTACAACGAAGACAGAAGAGTATAAGATGAAGGGAAAAGCTCAGGCTTTGCTTAGTGGAACAGTGGGACAGCGATACCTTCTGCCAGAGGTATCCATTAGTCTCATGGCAATGCCTATAGATGGAAGCATCAACAAGGTTGTGAGAGCACTTATGAGGATAGAGGCAGAAGTGGAACTAAGGCCCAAATTTGATAAGAGAATTGCCACCCCTGCTTGCTCAAGAATCTGAGGAGTGTAATATAGAACCCCATTTATGCCAGAAAACTGCAAGGACCAAAAAACAACCCAGCATTAGAGCAGAGAGAACAAAAAATTTATCATATAATCAAAACTATTTGTACCACATTTACTCGAAAACATGAATTAGTACCTGCTGAAGAATTTGAATTGCTACCCCAACAAACAATGCACGCTTGACTCCTGGTTCTAGAAGATCAGACCAACTGGATCCTTGAACAGTTTCTGGGGTGTCAACCTTTTCTTGTCCAAGATGCTGGCTCAGTTGGTTCTTTTTAGAAAGTACTGAAGGTTGGCTAACCAGAGCAGAAGCTTGAAAATATTCGCCGTCTTGAGTGACGTCAAGACCGCCAGCAACTGAAAGCATTGAGCCTCGCCGCGACTCAAGTGCACCCTCCTGATGCAAATAGACCCTTTGATACTCTCCTTCCTTTTTTCCATCCTTACCAACTTTTTCAGAATACTTATAAGCCAACTGCCATCCTCCTCCGATGTCCATACTGCTCACAGCTTCACCACCACCAGCCCCTGGCATGAGGCTGCTATTGCGCCTCATGCCGAAGAAGCTACTGGACTTTCTAGGCAGCATGTCATTTACCATACTGGCTGATTGTCGACCTTTGAGCAACGGCCTTCGCACATTGTCCTCAACATCATTCCCGGCTGCATTGCCATCTCCCTCCAAATCCCAATGCTCTAACTTATCCTGGCTTTCGGGTGGCGCCATGTTAAGAATGCTGCCCATGTTTGGCAAAGTAAGAAGGCTGCGCATGCTTCCTGTGTTTTCAGGATAAAGCTTCTCATGGACACTGCCAAATAGAGTTACAAGAGGATCCACATAAGGCACATTTGGATTCAACAAGCTTCCTTGCCGGGATACCAAGCCAAGATTGGCTTGTCCTGTGACAGATCTGGCAATCATAGAGGCCCTCCCCTCCTCCGGTCCATACAGCCTTATTTGGTCTTTCTCTGTAGTCATTTCGCGGCCATCGGTGCCCTCACTGGCTGGACCAATTATGTACTCTTCTAATGATGCTTCCCCTCCAACTCCAAGACCCTCAAACAACAAAGCCAACTCGCCTGCAAATCAGTAAAGCCCAACACATTCAGCATCCAAAAAATCAAAAAAGTAAAAACAACCTCCCTATATTTTCGAACATAAGCACAATATCAGCACGAAAAACAGAAGCTTTCATCAGCTAATGGCACTACTTTGTGCACCTGAAACATCTTCCCTGCCGCGGAGTCTCTGCAGAACCTGCTTGGCCTCAGCCATCCTTCCTTTACTAACAAGCCACCTTGGAGACTCAGGCAGGTAAAACACAGTCAATGCAAAATAAAGTAAAGAAGGAATAGAAAGTACCCCAAGCATCAATCTCCAATTGGGTGCTTCCATCAATGACATACTAAACACCATGCAGTAAGACATAAACATCCCTCCAGAACCAGTAAACTGGGGGAGAGTATTTAGCAGCCCTCTGATCTCAGGTGGGGCGGTTTCGGATATGTAGACTGGGACAAGAGTGACAGCCAGACCAATCCCAAACCCATCCAAAAGCCTTGCCAAAAGTAACACATAAACATTTGGAGCCCAAAGCATTACCAGACCGCTGAGAAAATATAGAACTGATGAGATTATCAGCATTGGACGCCTTCCTAGCGAATCTGATACTGGCCCTGAGAATGTTGTGATAACTGTGGCTCCAATCAGTGACATGGCCACAATTAGCCCTTCAATCGTTGGTTGAGTTTCCAACTTAAATTCCCTTTTGATGTAAAGAACAGCCCCTGCACATTGGTTTCTAATGTCACAGCCTCCATTACAAATACTAAATCATAAATACATGTGCCTACTTTGGTACGTTCTTTTGGTAACAAGGAAAACTCCATGACTCACTTTCTAAAGCTTTAAATTAAACACGAATACGTGCAATCACCGGCATATTTTAGTGGTGCCTCAAATGAGATCCCAAAGATTTATTATTTAAACTTTCCTAGATATATTGATTAAGGAGGATACATATACATACCTGCAATGGTTGCATTGTCCCATCCTTGCAACAAGTTTCCTATTGTAGCAGCAATGGCTACAAGAACAGATCCCCACATTGTTTTCTGCCACAATATATGTAACCCAGAATTTAATTCAGCAGAGGAACACAGCAACTCTTGTCCTTTGTAGCATCAACCTTGACAATACACACATAGAGTAATTAGTGAGCCAAATTTCAATTACACCAAATGCCAAAATATTTGCTTTGTTGAATGAAAGAACGTTATTTATACCTTTCAAGAACAGAGAGAAACCATGAATTTGAAGTACATCATCTGATCTTGGAACCAAAAGAGAAGTACATATTTGATGTCCAAACAATCTAGTTTTGGGAAAATGCAACATGAAGTGATGAGAGATCTGAGAAGAAGTGAGGCAGCTAGTGGTTTTGGGCTTTAACAGGTCCAAAAACTTGTCCTGAAATTCCTAGTATGCCTCTTGAACCAACCACACAACATGTAGCCCTCTTCTTTCGCTTAAGTAGTGGGCAACTGTAACTACCTAATTTTTTCAATTCTCTCCTCTAATACCGGTGGTGTAAAAAGTGAAACAATCAATGAGAGCAAAAAATCAAAAATCAAAAATCAAAATCAAAATCAAAATCAAAGGTTTAGAATAGGTGATCCAAGTTGACATAAATTACTAGATTACCACATAGGAAACATGAAGAAGTTTATTTAACGTCAAAGCCTACTAGGGTGTCATGAAGTCCACAAATTTCCCAAATTTATAATCAAGTTGTAGACGCTTTGGTTTGCCTCGAAGGAGTTTCGGTTTTTAAAATTGGAACCAATTTAATTTTGCTCAAAGGAGTTTCTGTTTTGAAATCAAGGAACAACTTGAAATATTAAGAATTCTTTTTTTTTTCTTTTCTTATAAAATAAATTTATTGCAATGGTAACGCTCTATTCCATATTGCAATAGCCATGGCATTGGCCCCTTCTTGGGGTGTTTTCATGATTGAGAATAATCTATTTCTCTCAGTTGAGCCATGACATCTGACATAAGTTTGTGGTATCCTGGCCCCATTTCCAAAGCCCAAATCTATGAAGTTTTGTGTTCCTGTGCAAGGGCATATTGGCAAATTTGACTGCAGTCTTTCAGCTATAAAACGACCAGCCCAGAGAAAAGCATCCATCTCTCTCTCTCTCTCTCTTGCAATTCTCTTGTGCTCCTCCTTTGTTTATTTTGTCAGCAATGGAAATCATTGACCTCACCAAATCTCCCTCCACACCTAAGGCCCGTGCTGAGTCTACCTCATCTTCTTCTCAGAACACCATGTGCCCTAAGCCTGTTATCCGCAAGTTGCATGTCCATGACTTTGACTAGCCATAAAATTGAGTTTCTCCTCTAGCTTCGCTATCATGTCAACGACATTCTGAATAAATTTGCACGTGCACGTCGTATATAACCTCATGCACGACGTGCATGTAAGAACCATCTTATATAACAACAGAACTCTCGTACGTACATGTTATGATAGGGAAGCTATGTATGTATACGATTGAAGTTTTTGCTATCTTTTTATAGGATAATGCTAGGCTTACCATATTTTTATATCACATTGTGTATAACTTCTTTAATAAATATATAACCCACCAATACAATAGGGTCCACCACTATTAGAAATGTGGTATAAAAATATGGTAAGCCTAGCATGCATTTTCCCTCTCTCTATATATTGGACGTATATATGGTTAGATAAGAATTATACAAAGTAGTAGTATAGAGTAATTTACACCAACACCCTCTAAGGTTTTTTGTGTTTTCACAAAACCCTCTCAGGGTCTCAAAAATTACACGAACAACCCTTGAGGTTTCAGTTTGTTCTCACAAAACCCATTTTCATTGATTATTTCATTGAAAAATACCTTATGCAAATGACAAAATTAACCTCAATGAAATATATGCAATTTAATCTCAAATGTCAACTTTGTCATTTGGATAATTTTTTTTTGTATAAAATCATCAATCTTTGGATGAAAAATCAATTAATGGAGTTTTGTGAAAACAGTTTAAAACCTCATGAGATGTTCGTGTAATTTCTAAAATTTTTAGAAATTTTGTGAAAAAAGCAGAAAACCTCAGGAGATGTTAGTGTAAATAAATCTTATTTTTCACACATTTAATTACTCACATCCAAGTTACACATGTATGCGCTTGAATTGGAGGTTCATTAATTATTATTTTCTAGGTTGTTTCTAATGGGAGTGATAAAACATGGCCTGGGGAGCTGGTCCACAATTGCCAAGGAGTTTGTGTCAACTAAGACCCCACATCAAGTTGCCATATATGCTGAGTCTTGCTTTTTGCGTCTCCAGAAACCATTTCTATATAACTTGGGCATCGAGAGGACAAAGCAATTACCAACAATCATTCCTCCTCGTGAAATGGATTTGAACTTACCACCACCTGATGATTATTCATCAAGCTCAAAGCCCCCTGTTCCAGCAGCATCTGGTTCAAACTCTATGGCTCCTCAAAAGCTGGACAAGTACACCTCCCTTTTTTTCCCTCCGGAGGCTTCTTCAGATGAAAGGAGTGCTAAAACTACTCCACCTGTTAAGCCCGAGAAGCCGGTGAGCCTCCGTGCTTTGGCTGAGGAACCTGAGCCTATAAAAATCAGTCTTGCGCTGCCTGAGTTTGAGAGAGACAATGAAATGGAAGAGGAAGGGCTCAACCTAGAGCTCACCTTAGGTCGTGGGGGTACCAGCTAGAATAATAATTCAGGCTCGTTTGTGTCCTATTGGGTTATGTTATTTTTTTTGTTGATCTTGATTTTAGGGGTGATTTGTGTGTGGTTTTGTTAGTTTTGGGTTTTGGTGTTTTTTGTTCTGAGAATGCTGCACTAGGCCAGCATTAGTCATTGTGTGTGATGTTTTTCTTTTTGGTTATCAAGTGTCTTTTTATGTGATGTAGATCCTACCGTAATGAGAACTCATCTAGCTTTTTTAGTTTTAATCCTTTTTTTCTTTTCTTGTTGAGGTTATATTTTCAATATAGTAAAATGTAGGACTCAAACTCTTAATTTATCTTAATATGAGTTTATGAAGGATTTCAAAACGAGATATGTATGAAAGAAGGGCGCGAAAGGGAAATGATTGTTATAAATTAACTATAACTTAAGGATTCGAATCAAGAGCACCCATTAAAACTTTTGAAAAGAAGTTATATACGTAAGAAGAGCGCGTGAAAGAGAAGTGACCGTTATAAATTAATTATACTCATCATTAGAACAGATAATATATTTTGAAGCATTTTAGTTTAATTGATATTTCATAAGAATATTAATGTTTAAGTACTCATTAGTCATTTTTCAAAGCACTTGAATTCTACTCTTTTTTTAAGAATGAATTCTACCATTTTATATGTAGTGTTGCTCCTTTTATGACAACAAGATTCATCCGCTATCCCCAAATTGCAGCATTTTATTTTTATTTCATTTGTGTTTCTTCACTTTTCTCAATATAAAATGATTAATTATTTAGTAATTATTATATAATATTTACATATTAATTGTTGGTTTAATTTGCGTTTTCTTCATTTCTCAAAAATAATTAAAGAACAACTTTATCCTTGCATCTTATCTTTTTTTCATTAATTATTTTCTTGGTTAGTTATGGGTTTTCTTGGTTGTCCGAACCAAGGTGCTGCGTATGAAGACGAATACATATATGGATGATTCACCGCCAAATCATAGCAGTTTTGTCCTTCATGAATTTAGACAAGAAGATTTATCATCTTTTTTGGTAAGTTTGCATAAGTTCTTACATGTATACATGAACTAAGTGCACGTATGACTTTTGGATATGTATCATGTAACTGTTACGAGACTCAGTGCACTCCTCTCTTTTATGAAAAATAAGGTAAGAAATTGTATCGCCATGAGTGTTACAATGACACACGCTTTAAAATGTACAATTCATTGCCAAATCATAGTAGTGCTGTCCTTTAAGAACTTAGACAATAAAATTTACCTAAACTTTTTGGTAAGTTTGCATCGGCTTTTATATGTATATACATGAAACCAAGCACACATATAAGTCATGAAAATATAACTAAGGTAAGAAATTAATTATATCTTTATGAATGTAGAATGACTTATTTGGAGCGGCAATAATAACTCTGTATGTATCCACGGTATATAAGAGTGAGGATCAATTGATGTTTCTTCTCTTCTTTGTCGAACTCACTAGCTTTGGCTAATTAATTATGGAAACATTATGTTTTTCTAAGGGTCCTCTATGTTACCCTAGTAGGTTCTCAAACAACTTATCCCGACCACTCCAACTTGAAAAACCTAGTGACGATCAATGGACCTTCGATGAGAACAAGAAGTTTGAAAATGCTCTCACAGAGCTCAATCTTGATGCCCCACACCTCTTTCAGAAACTAAGTACTAGGGTTCCTGGGAAAACTGTTGCACAAATTAAGAAGCACTTCGAAGCATTATTTGAGGACATTTTGATGATTGAATCAGGTCATATAGCTGTGCCCGAGTACAACAAGATTAGTACTGAAAGCAAAGTTACATCAAAACCATTCAGAAGGAGACGTACTCCATGGACCAAGCATGAACACAAGTAAGTATATAATTTATATGTATATATTCGCCTATTACAAATATATGATTCAGATTCACAGTATGATAATCTGACAAAATAAGTAACTTGCTCGCGGTTATAACTAGCTAGCTTTCAAATTTTCCATTTTTTAACTTTTTAGCATGATTTCTATTTATATATATGAACAAAATCAATGTGTGTAAATTTGTTTTGGGATGATTGACATATGAACAGGTTGTTCTTGAAGGGGTTAGAGCAATATGGGAAGGGAGATTGGAGGAGCATTTCCAGGTTCTGCGTAGTAACAAGGACCCCAACTCAAGTTGCAAGTCATGCCCAGAAGTACTTCCTTCGCATTAATAAACCCTAGGCACAAATTTCCCCATCAAAATTCTTGGGAGGCTCTTTGTGTTAGAGCAACTCCACCCATTTGCCCCTTGTCATGGCAAGGGGGGCTAGGACAGCCACTATTCACGTGAATAGTGGACGTGAATAGTGGCTGCCCTTGCAAATAGTATTGTGTGTTTCCACCCGTTGCCATGGCAAATGGTAATTACTATTCATTATTTATTTTTTTCACAAATTTTTTTACCTCAATAATTAATTTGGATAATATTTTCGGATAAGATTTTTGGGTTCCTACGTGTCAAGATTGTTCATAATCGGATAAAATTTCCAGATAAGATTTTTGGGTTTAAATTTCGGATGAATTTCAAAATTCAAATTTCAGATAAATTTTTTGTTCAAATTTCGGATGAATTTCAAATTTCAAATTTCAGACAAGGAAACATCTTTCATGGTGCTCCAAACCTCTCCGGTTTCGATTGAAAAAGCCATAAAGATAAGAAATAAAAATACAATTTGAAAGAGAGGAAAATGTTGAGTAAGAGTGAATAATAGTATAAGTAGAAGAAAATGCATGAGGATTGGTGTTGAAAGTGAAGGGTATTGATAGGTATATATAGAAAAAAAAAAATCAGAATTTTTTGGTATTTTTTTTAAAAAAGTTCGAATTTTTTTCATAATTTTATTGCCAAAAAAATGACAGCTGTTGGATTGGAGGAGGAGAAGCAGATCGGAGTGTGCAGGCCTTGACACCTGTCTTCTACCCGTTGGAGCTTGCGCAGGGCTGACGTTAGCGCACGCGAGTTTAAATTTTTTTTACCATTGGCGCGTGCCCGCGCGATGACATCGCACCTGACATCATCAACCCTCGAGTCGAGCTCATGGGAAACTGCCTTTCGGGCCAGCCAGTCTTCGTGGGTCCCACTCCCAGCCCGAGCTTGGGCTCCTCCCTATAAACGGATTTTTGACCCCCCCCCCAAAAAAAACCAAAAACCAAAAGAGAGAGGCTAAAATTTTGTCAAAATTAGCTTAATGGGCTCGGGCCCAACAAGTCTTTTAAGCCATACTTTCCAAGATCACTGTGATAGGCCCAATCTAATCACAGCCACAATTCAGATTGTGCAACTGCATAGTCATCAAGAGGACGTCGTATTAGTTGGCTCTCGCTAAATTTCATGTGCAGGCAAGCCTTGTGGCAGCTCGGCGCTATAATGCTGGACATGTGGCTTATAGAAAAAGTGCCAAGTCTAACTTTAAACCCAATTTTTACCATTTTCCTCAAAATTTGTCTTTGGGTTAATAGCTTGATTGAATAATCGAGTTATTGGTTTTTTTTTTCTTCTTCTATTTATCTAGCTTATTTATTTATCGCCTTAACTTGGTGCTTGAGCTGTAACGCTATCAGTGATGGAGTTAGAATTTTTATATTATAAGACCAAAATTAAAAACGTAATCTTGTATTGCATTTTTAAAGTGTCACGGACAAAGTTAGTGATATGTTATCATATAACTAATTTTGATGATGGATTTTCTATATCTAGCTAGTAATCTGTCTGCCGTTATCCTCCGGATAAAAACATGAAACCAATGACAAAAATTGATGTATAATATAAAAAAGAAATCAATAGATATTTGTTTCTTTCATGATTCTCGTGCTTCAATAACATTGACAGTTACCAAACAAATGAACAGAGTGTCCATATGTAATCCGCATGGTGTAGCCACGAGAGCAAGAAAGAAAAATTTGGTCTGGTTTTATCCACATCCTATTAGGTGAAGAAAAGCCACCCAAATAACATTATAATATTTCCAGTCAAACGTATTCATTTGAGCCACATCCACCACCTTTTGCCTATCATTCAAGAGATGCACAGTTATTAAAACAGTACCTCCTCAAAGTGCCCCAATAATGAGATTATGTTAACCCCATATAAGTTCCAAGTTAGTGCAGAAAGTACCCCTCAATCATCTGATGATGATGATAATTACAATACAATAGTTGTTTATGCGTACGTGAGTAACTGTTAATTGTTGAAGAAATACATCAGACGGGTGTTTTTTCTTTTTCAACTGCCAACAGATCTGTACATCAATTATATGGTTTTTCAATCCCCTTGATAAGATTTTTTTTTTATGAAATGGCCACGGCTCTTTCACATGGGCAAAGAGCCAAATGCTTGCCAAAACTTAGGCGAATTTAATAGGCTTAAGCCCCTCCGGTCGTGAACATATGCTTAGGTTGGGTGCAGGAAATATTCTGGAGCTGTTGTTCCCTATATATCAACAACCCAACAGGGGCTGTAAGCCTGTAACATGCATGCCACACCACCTCTGGGTCCTCATGTAATAAAATTGACAAATGCCGGATTTGATATATTTTCGTCTAAAATGCCAACCACCTGAATCTATATTGGCCCACCCCATTTTAGTCTTTTCCTTGCCTGGTAGGGCCTCACAGTGGTCAAGGGTCCCAGGGAAGGTGGTGGTCTTCATGCTTCAATGGACCTTCCTGGAAACTAGGGTATTCTTTTCTTTTTTTCAATTCATCCCACCCATGAGATGAGCTGTAAAGAAGTGAGGAGAGACATGTGAATGTGAGAGAATTTGATGGTGATGCGATTATATATAGTTGGATTTGGATTTTTGGCTTTTTCTTCATTTGGAGGGCCAACCGACCCATAAAATTCGAAAAAGGACGGGTTTCTTCTCTGTTTTTCTTTTGTTTAATGCAAGTGATAATACAAGAGGAGAAATCAAATTTAGAACATCGAATGCATGAGTAAATGTTCTAATAGATGGCGACTGCCTCATAATTACTCCAACATCTAAGTACAATTGTTTTAACTAACCGACCTTCAACTTCAACACAACGCAATTTACCATAGTAACTTCCAAATCACCAAACCTAAATATCCCATATGAAATTTCACCTCCTTCCAGTAAATACCCTGCTTCCCCACTTCAGTTTCCATGCTTGAGATAAACAGGGTTTGCTTCTTTTTTTGAAGCTGCAACTGTTTTAACTGAAGCATCTGAATGCAACTCTACTCAGAAAGAATATAGAAACTAACTGGGAGCAAAGTCAACAACCTATTAAGTAGTTTGACCCCCAAAAAAAAAAAAAAAAAAAAAAAGAAGAAGAAGAAACAAAACCTATTAAGTAAGAATTAGGCATCTATACGGATTTTGGAAGCAGTACTTCCTATATGGATGGTAGTGGCTCTCCAGGGGATATTCCTAAGTTCTGAATCAGAAGCTTGGATCAAGATCCTCCATCCTATTGATAGGTCAAGACTTTTGGTACCCAGATCCCATCAAAAGGTCAAGTTTACTAAATCAGCAACAATGAAGTGAACATAAAAAGATTCTAGATTCTCTTTGAATGGAAACAAATTCTATTACAAGTGGTAGGTGATACACGGAGATATCATAAACAATGGAGGTGATATACAGAGTACAACATTTTTTCTTTTCCCCTATATGCCGGCTGAATTGTACACCTCATTTGACTCAAAGACAACAGAAATACAGATGGATGAAGAAAAAAAATTGTAAAAAATAACAGAGAAAAAACAGATATACAATTTGGTATGCAAGAGTCAATGGAACAATTTTAGAAACCCACCGCATTAGTTGACGTTGATTCGTAGTCTCATTTTTCATCTAGCCTGCTAACAGCTGGTATACCTGAGAGAAAAACAATAAGAAAGGTGCATGAGTGGCAAAAGAACGTCACTGCAAACTTCATCAAATTGCCCCTAGTAGTACTAGTTAAGATATTTTTAATCATACACGCTCACTAACCAGAAAAACTAAGTCCTAAAAGGGGGATGAAGATGGTGCCACCACAGTAGGGTCAAAGAGTTTTTCATTCATGTTGTTAGTGAACTAGGCAAAAGTAATATGCATAAATTCTATTTTTACAGTATGTAAGTCAATTCACCATGATATTGTTTTGACAACTTACTCGATTGAAATTATCGTGTCTCTTGTCAGGAATTCAATGATTAATCAGGCCTTCACATAATCTCCACCGCTGCGCTTCCTTTTGTTTGACCGCGAGAAGAAGCAGATTTGAGCCCAAGTCTTCTTCTGCTTAGCAGGTTGTGCTTTAACTTCTCTTTTCACGACAAGCTCAGTCATGTATTGAACAACAGCCTAAGATGCACCAAGAAAGTACAGTTAGCCTTGAGATAAAACCTACAGGACCTATTTGATAAAAAAAGTCAACACAACAGAGGAAACTTACTTGTGCCCCCTTTTCGGCAATGTGTCTTGGTGGCACTTCAAGAGGGTTTTCTTCAACACGCAGAACACGCAGTCGCGTGAGCATCCTGAAGGAGTCAGGGAGAACCCGTATCTGGTTGTTACTGATATCCAACTCTTCAAGCATCTCAAGGTTCCCAATAGACCTTGGTAGGTATCTCAGATCAGCAAAGTTGTTTCCAATGTTCATCTTGACCAGTGAAGTGGCAAAACACAAGTTCTCAGGCACAGACTCAAGCTCATTGAAACTTACATCCAGCTCCCTCAGGCTCAATAGAGACGACACAGTTGTGGGCAACTGTTTGATGTTATTGTAACGCACAGACAAAACCTCCAGGCTCTCAATCTTTCCCACAGCTTCAGGAAGTGCTTTAAGCCTATTATAGTCTGCACGGAGCTCTTTAAGCGAGGAACAATGACCGATAGTATGGGGAATTTCTTCAATATCATTGGTCTCCACATTCAATATCTTGAGGCTAGCAAGGGACCCAATTGAGTCAGGAAGCGCAGGGAGCCTATTTGAGCTCAAATCGAGCTCTTCAAGACGCACCAATCGGCCAAAGGTAGCAGGCAGAGTAGTCAAGTCATTTGCACTAAGGTCTAGAGAGACAAGGCTAAGAAGATCTCCAATAGCGTCAGGCAGCTGAGCAATCCTGTTTGAATGCAAATCCAATTTGGTCAAGGAGGAAAGACCTCCAATGGTGGATGGGAGGACCAAAATCCGGTTTTCAGACAAATCAAGGGAGACCAATCTAGAAAGCTTTCCTATTGAGTCGGGCAGCCATTCAATTTGATCCATCAACTTGTTGCGAAGATTAAGATCTTTAGTTCCTTTCTTGGCCAAGACTTCAATTAGACTCGCTAGCTTTATTAGACTCAATTTCTCACTCTCCTGACCTATAAACCACGAAACACAAACAATCAAACAACAAACCCCACATTGTCTAAATAAGCAGAGAGCCCAACAAACAATTCAAACCAATAAATTAAAAGAAATATTATAGTGTAAGATGATAGATACCCACCTCCAGTTGAATTGAGAGCAGAACCAGGCTTCAGAGACGAATCGACTATCTGGGGTGTGGAAGAAACAGCAGGCCGAGCCCCAATTCCATCAACCAAGAATTGTTTCTTGGCCTTGTTGACCATAAAACTGTCGTCTCTGCTCACTCTGACTGAAGAAGACTTAGCAACAATTTCGTTGTTGTCAGAGTGGAACACGTGCGCAGCAGAGGCAGAAGAAGGAGAGGGCTTGTGTGGAACCGCAGAAACGGAATTCGAATTCGAATTCGAAATCATGGTCGTCGTTTTCTTCGCTGAAGAAGAAGAAGTAGAATTGGGAGAAGCGACGCAAGTTGAAGCTCTCTGAATGAAATCATCGAACAGGTTGTGGAGGTTTTCAAGATCGAGCAATTTCAAGGCCTCCCGCTTCTGCTCCTTGCTGTGGAAGTAGACCAAGCTCCTCTGCATCTCCTGCAACACCATGAATAGCTCTTCGGGGACTTGCAATGTCTTGGTCTGCCTGGCAATGGCGTCGAGCCTGGCCTGGTCTTCCTTCTCCACATTTTGAACCAGAGCCACGGCAGCTTCAACCTCGTCCACGCCTGGCCTCGCCGGCAAAGATCTGTGAATTCTCATGATCTCTTCCACTACTTGGTCCACTGACTGAAACGCCGTCGTTTCCATTCTTATTCGCTTCTGTAAGCAAATAAAAAAATCAAACTTTGGATTTTGGGTGTTGACGATGTGAAGTTAGGCAAATGGGGCAGTGGGAGGAGGAGGAGGGTGTGGAGAGTAGAGAGTGGGGTGGCCGGTTATGAAATTTGGAGGCAAAAAGACAAGTAGTTGAGTTCGGGGCTTGGCCTGAAATCAATTCTAAGACTCTCTCTTGCGTCGTCGTCTTACAAATCCAGCTATTTCCATGCTCTCTCTCTCTCTCTCTCTCTCTCTCTCTCTCAATCTTCTTTGGCGGATTTTTTTTATTTTTATATAAAAGAGAAAAGAAAATTGGCTTTACTAAAAAATAAAGGGAAAGTCTCTTTTTAGTCCTTGTATTTTATTGAGTTTTTCCGCTTTAGTTTATGTTGTTTTAATTTATGGAACTTAACTCATGTAGTTTGATATTCATCATCGTTTTTAAGTATATGTTTAAGTTTTCGTTTGATTTCATAATGCGGTAAGTACCTATACTTAACATGAATGGATATGTCGATTGGAAATTGGGATGTGTTCTTGAATTGCGGATATCAACTATATTGGTTATGTTGTAAAAATTAAAATTATGGGTACCAAACTGAAAAAAATCAACAAACAAAAAGGGACTAAAAGAGAATTTTATTTGTCTAAATATAAAAAGAGAAATTTGATATTTCGATGGCTATATATTAGGATATATATATATATATAGCGTGAAACTGATTATGACTCATGGGCTGATCGGTTATCCGGGGGGACTGTCAGCTCCCACGTCCGCCACCACCTAAATTTCCAAAATTACCCTCCTGTGCAAAACTGCTAAGCGCCGCTTGTTTTAGGCTTTAATTAATCAAATTAAACTGTGAGTTATTTATTGCACTCCCTTCACATAGGACCCACGCAACGCAAATCCCCTTACACACCGTGTCCAAAACAAGACGGACGCGAGGGGCATACACGTCAAATTGAAAGCTTGCCAACGGCTGTTCGTGAATGAATTTGACCCGTCACTAAAATTGTTTGTACTATATAATTAACAAGTTTATGTCATTTTTATTGGAAATATAATCCGTAATTGCCATTTTTGAATTAGAACAATATTACTCTGATCAAGTAGCTGCTAATTTAATGATGATTTTCTGTCCAATATTAGTAGAAATTTCAATTTCAATTTTTTGATAAATTATTTTATGGTTCTAAAGTTTTGTTTGCAAGATATAACCAATTTACGTGTTATTGTTATAATATAGTAACAACAAATATCCACTTACATAACACATGTACGAAATCACATGCTCGTATATAACAAATAGGCTAACGCCTAAACACAAAGACCCTATTTGGTTCACGTTACAGATTTGAGGGGAAATCACTTCTTATGTCATTTATCAAGGGATGAAAAATAGAAGATTTATTTCTCACGTTTGTTAATATAGGAAAAGTAACCGGGAGATATCACTTTATTTCATTTCCCATATTTGTTTTGAGTATGAATAGAAAACAAAGTTTGTATAATTTTCCAATTATACACATATTAAATCAAATAAAAAAAATAAATGCATTTAATAATATATTGTAATTCTAAATTGTTAATGAGGACAAAATGATTATGAAAAATGTGTATTTAATGTTTGTTTATTTTCCCACACGTTTCTATGAGGAGGGAAAACAAAACCCAAGTTCGTAGAAGGGATTCATTTTCCCCAAAACTTTCATATGTGTCAAACAATTATTTCTCATGTCTGAACTTACTATACATGGAAAAACAATTGATTTTCCATCCTCAAATTTCCTTTTCCATAAACCAAATGGGACAAAAAAGAAAAGGGTTAATAGCTTTATTAGTCCCTGAACTTAGACTCGATTTGCATTTGAGTACCTCAATTTACAAAATGGTTCCCGTGATCCTTCAACTTCATTTCGTTAAGACAAATGGTCATGTTGTCAATTTTGTTAACTTTTCTGTTAAATACAGGGGTAAAATAGTTTTTTTATATTTTTTTACATTTTAAATTTATTAAAATATAAATAAAATATTTATTAACAAAAACGTGAACTTCCACGTGGACAAAAAAAGTAATAAGAATAATTCAAATATTAATTTTAAAAAAACGTGATGTTCTTTTACAATTTTAAAGATATAATTTTTTATTCATTTTTATGGTTTTAATATAAAAATACCATTTTACCCCTGCATTTAACAGAAAAAGTTAACAGAAGTAACAGTGGGACTAGTTGTCTAAATGAAACTAAAATTAAAGGACCACGGGTACTATTTTAAAAATTGAGGTACTCAAATGCAAATCCGGTCCAAGTTGGAGGACTAATAAAATCATTAACCCAAAAGAAAACAACCAACCACTAAAGAAACGGGGCCTGAAAGCACCACTAACATCAGCAGCCAGAATATCCACAAGGAAGGAACTACAATTATTTTAAGTTTCCTCTAAAATAACTATCCATCAAGCCTCACTAAATTGGGACTTAACATGTATGTTTTACACATAGGCCAAAGGGAAAAATAGGCGGTTGTTGAATTGGATATTATGGGAGAGCTGGGCTATAAGCTGGTGGGGCTGCTAGTCCAACGGACAACCAACGAGTGGGATTGGATTGGGTCCATTGGGGTGGGGGGCTGTGCAGTAAATGCAGTGTCCAGGTGTCCACGTTGGGATGTGTGACACGTGTTACTGTTGTTGCTTAATGGATCATGGGTTGGAAAATTGGATGTCCAACCGTATCCAGCTGGCAATTACTGCTCACGCCATAACCGTTTTCTCTACATCATCTTTTTGCCCTCTTTTTTTTTCTTCATTTTTTATTTAATTTTAAAAAATAATTTTGGTTTCGCGATGAGATGATAGATTTCTGGTAACTGCTACTATCATGGTGTGAGTGAGGAGGACTCTCCCTTCCCTCCCCTCACATGCTCTGCTTTTCTCTTGTCCAATGTGTCCTTTCCCTTTTTCACTTGTTGACTATGACACTGGTATCACTTCTGTCCCATTGGCCTTCTCACTTATTTGAGAAAACAAAATCTTTCTCCAATTCAAATATGGTATACAAACAATTCCCCCACACTAACTGATTACATGACAAGTGCAAGGAGATTATTCTCTCATAGGAACTAATTATGTGACTGATATGTGAAAATTTGAATGTGAGTGACTCGTTGTATATACCAATATAATTTTATGTACTACACTTCGGTTGTTGTATTAGTTCGATACGAGCAATAATGAGGGAGAGGGAATTGAACCTTGTACTTCGGTGCATGATAAAACTCTTAATCACTTGAGTGACAATTGTTAGTCAAGGTGTCATAGGTGAATATAGTCTATGATTTTAATTTTCGGACAATCCAATTATGATTTATAAATATAAAAGGATATTTCAAATTTGAAATCCCCTAGTTGATAAAAATAGAAAAAGGTTAAATACCGTTTTGGTCACTGGGTTTTACACGAAAATGCAATTTGGTCATTGAGAAAAAAAAAATTAGCCAAATTGGTCATTATATTTCCCAAAGTTTAAAATTTATAGATATTCCATTATCTTCCATTAACTTCCATTTAGTGCAATTTTATTTATTTTGTTTAGGAAGCATGTTCAATCTTCTTTCTCCAACTCAATGAGTTATGGTATATTGTGCGATTAGCGTTTAACAAATTGGGGAAAATATTGGGTTGAAATCGAAATTGTGAGTTACAATGTCACAGATTGGATGCAATATTGAAGCTTGAATCAATCGAGTGAGAACCGAGTTGTGACTTCGGATAGCAAGGAGACGTAATCAATGTTATATAGAGCACCAAAATATATTGGTAAGTTGTTGATTTCATTTTAATTTTGTTTTGGGCGGGTAAAAAAAATGGGACGCGGGATTTTTTTTTTTGTTTTTGACTTTGCGCGATCAATATTCCAGTATTCGTCGCACAAAACTTTGCGCGACCAATATTCCAATATTTTTCATCTCGCAAAACTTTGCGTGACCAACAATATTGTTCGTCGCGCAAAGTGATACGATTTTTAAAACGAAAATAACTCCTCCACCATTTTCTCAATGTCTTTCTCTCCTCTTCCCTCTCCCCAAAGCCGACCCTTTCTATCACACTCACTCCTCTCACTTAATATCTCTCTCTTCACTATCTCTCACTCTCACTCACTCTCTCATCTCTCTCTTACTATCTTCTCTAATTCTCTCACACTCACTTCACCCTCTCATTCTCACTCACTCTCAATCTTGCCAAAAGGTATATTCTCTC